AAACAACGTTGTTCACACACGATACACATATATATATATATATATATATATATATATATATATATATATATATATATATATATATATATATATATATATATATCTACAATACTTAATATTTTGCCTAGAAATTTATTTTAAGCTGTATTTTAATAAGTTGATGAGTTTAAAGTTAGCATGAATCATTAAAATAGAACCAAATAACTGAGGGCTTTAGGAACCGCAAAACGGATTGCTGTTTCAGTATTATCGTTAAAATATTTCTTTGAAGTGGATTTTGGTCTGAAATAGTTTAGCAATCTGGTAATTAATGTCTGCATATAATAACATCAACAGTGATTTAATATCATCTATTTTATATAATTGACTTAGTACAATATGATACTATGGTAATAGGGAACTTTTTTTGAAATAATGGTGACAATTGAACACTTATCCCACATTTGTGCGTAGTAGAGCCCAGCTTCGGCTACAAGTATATTATGTGTGTTGTGACACGAATTGGATGGCTTGAAGGGGAAAAGACCACACTGTCACATGCTGTGACAGTGTGAAAATGCAGCTTTTATCTGTTGTGTTTCGTATAATGTGTTTACCGGAGAGCCATTTTACTGCTAACGAGTCATTAAGTATATATATTTTGATTCATAATTGAGGACAGATGTAGATTTCTATGGGCCACAGTATCCATTTTTATTCAGGTGACTGTTTATTTTTTGTCACCCTTATATACAATGAGGGTGACAAGTATCCTACCTGATGGTACGTGGATTCTGAGGCTTACAAACATCTACACATGTCAACCTGTCTTTATTTCTTTTGAAATCGCAAGTTTCCAGTGGAACAGAATTGTAATACTGAATTTGAAAAAAATGTGCGATGTATCCTTGAAACATTCGTTCTATTCCTGTTACTGGTATCAAATGTAGAACATAAGGTCCTGGATTCGAATCAAGTCTAGGACCAGAATCATTTTTCTGTCAAGAAATTCTTATTCTCGCGCCTCGGAAAACATGTATAGCCGTTGGTTCCTGCGCCTTATCTCCCTTTGGTTGTGTTGGATTGCCATCACATCGGATCATGAGAGTGAGGGAACAGAGAGTGGTCATGTATTTATACATACACTTCTGGTCCATAGACCTCTATATGTGTCCTCGATTAAGAATCAAAATGCAAAATGTATTGTCAACCCTGAGGGCCAAGATAAGATGCCATTTCAGATGAAAAGGGACTCCGGTTTTCTACACTCGTCATTTGAATACAGCAGCATTAAACAGCGTACGTGCGTGTGTGTGCGCGCGTGCGCGTGTTTGTGTACATTAATTCAAAGCTTTTTACATACGATTTAGTTAAACAGAATCACTTATATACGTTGCAATGTCACGTATGATGGTCGGTAAGTGCCGTTGACTGAAGTTGTGTTGGGTACAAGAGTTATCATCGCCTACGTAATCGTTGTAGGAAGTACTCTCCAAACGAGATCATACAGTTCATTTCATTTCTGCACCCGGATCTTAGCAAATTACATAATATAATAAGTAATAACGTTAATTGAGTTATAGATATAGACCCTGCATTAGTGTTTCTCTTTCTCATTTGAATGACAAGCACTCGGTCAATTCGAAGCTAACTTCAATACACTTGAGTGCTCGCTAAGATGCGATGCCAGGATACTAATTGGACAGTAATGTCGCTCATAGCTTTAGAGAACTATTTCGTATGTGACTGACATGAAACTTAGCAGTTTTTTTCCTATTCGCTTAAGTTTAAAGTAAAACGTACAAGTTACAGGTTATGTAGGAACACTGTGCAGTTGGACACTGCGAAACACAAGCCTTCCTTAGTATGTGTTAGTAGACTTCAAATGATCACAAATTTCCCCCCATAAGCAAGTTTTCTGACGATAATTTCCATTCACCATCACTCACGTAGTAAATAGCACTTAACATTGCAATCAAAAACTGTACGGTGCTAGCGGAAATCGAACCTGGATTGCTGGCTTTCTTTGAAATGGACGACGAGCGCTTAGCTCTTTCGCTATTACGCCTTAATAAACTTTATAATAGATTGCACATAATAATTTAATTTAGAGAGGAAAGGGATAATGGAACTTAAATCACCTCTCGTTGCTTTGAGTGACGGCTCATTACTAGATAGAATCAGGCGTTACTTTGCGGAAATCCATTATAATAAATAATTTATTACTTTGCAACCTTCCGCTAACCAATTACAATGATGTGTCTTACCTGGATTGAAGAGCACCTCCCGCCTTCAGTCAATTGCATGCACTAACTCCGTCACCACTAGTCCCAGCACCACTACTCCCAACACCACTACTCCCGGCACCACTACTTACAACACCACTATTCCAGATAAGACACACCATCGACGACAATACGACACGTGTTTCGCCTCTACACGAGGCATCCTCAGGTAATGTAGACTACGGCGGCTGGCCGCTAAACCTCATTATATCTGGATATAACCCAATGGAAATCTGTATTGAAAACTGTGCTCAATGCAAAAGAATGCTCGGATCTTGGTTTGATGGTCCTCTTTGCGCCGAATCGTGCATGACTCATAAAGGCAAGCTTATGCCGGATTGTGAAGATTTTGCTTCCATTGCACCGTTCCTGACCAAGATATCATTTTAATTATCGACGTAGCTTATCTACAACTGACCGATTAATGTCAAAAGAATGAATTTTATAGAGTCTTATTCTGCAAATGTTCACAAAAATACCTAATAGAAATAAAATATTTTATAATTAAGTTTAAAATAATTTTGATCTCTTTTGGTTATTGCGTTTAATTGGAGATGTTTTACCACCCATGGTCGCTGAGGGAGGGGAGGTGTATAATGGTAAAGGTTAGCAGAAAGAGCTCAATGTATCTTGAAGTGCTACAGTGGTATACTTGGGCTTGGATTTAATTTTATTAATTACAGGGTCAAAAGTATGTGGTAGTACCCAGCCGTCTTCTCTATTGAAATTAAAATGCTTTTAATAGTCTCACAAATCATACGTGGGAGGAATTGGAGTTCTTTCCGATGAGTTCTGGTCTAACTAATCTGATGGATATATTCTTACCTTTCTTGAATATTATCACAGTCTGCAGACATCTCGGAGTATTCGCTTTATATAAATTAATAATACATTACAAAAATCTTATATACATTCAAAAATGAATAATATTTTAGAAAACTAATGCTGAACTTAATTAGATTTTGTAACCCGATAGAGATTTTAAATAAGTGATAAAACTTGAACTTCTATGAATCGTATCACAAGTTCAAGTTAGACGAAATTTGCTAACAGAAGTTTGAATTTGAATAAAATTTGAATAAATTAAATTGCTTTTGTGGCTACGTTTCTGGACAAAATATCAAAGTTCTGTAAATCACAAAAGATGCGAGAGATTATTTGTATCAAGGTGCCGAACAATAATGGTGAATAGATCTACTACGACGGCTTTTTATTGTAAAAAAAAAATAAGTTCACTTTAAAGAAATATAAAACGTTTATTATTCTTAATGTCTTTTTGATGATCTTTTGTAAATTGTCTTTTTTATAGGAGAGGGGGCATACGAGTATACAGCCCACCTGATGGTAAGTGACTACCTCCGCACATGAACAACTGTAACACCAGGGTAAATGCAGGTGCGTTGCCGGGCTGTTAGAAAGGTGAAAGTCTGAAATTATTTCTTTTATCACTTATATTTTACGAGAGAAGGCGACAATTTTATGTATAAACTTTAAACGATACTATTTTTATTGTGTTTAAAAAAGAGAATGTTATTGGGGTTTTTTATCGTGCTGTCAGAGAAAAATGGGCATAGACAATTCACACCGCGGCATGGTCGACGGTGTGTATCCCCCATCAACTAGAGTCAAGTTAAATGCAAAAAGAGAGCTTACAAGCTCGGCTTTGTCTTTTGCGACCTGGGCCAGTGAGTTATCTCCATGTGTAGATTAATAAATACGCATTATTATAATAGACACATTATTAAGAATAACTCAAAAATTACTGATCAGATCTTGGTCAAATTTATATGGGACCTAATGAGAAGCTTTCAAATAAAAAAGCTTTCAGTTAAAAAAAGGAATCATCGAAGTTGGTTCATCTAGAAAAAAGGTCTGAGGTAACACACATTAAAAAAAACAGTCGTATTGAAAACCGCATCTTTTTTGAAGTCGTTTAAATACTCGAAAATTTGGTCTTAGTATCTCAATCACTCTACCTATTTAAATTAAAAAGCCCTTGTGAACTGGCATTTGCGTAAACAGTATGCTATAAAGCTTGAGTTCTTGGTTTTCAACAAGCTTTTTACAATGTTTAAATACTTTATAGTATAGTTAAAGCCTCAATTGCATGCCGCTGCAAGGAACAGGAATCCTTTCATTTTTAAGAGATCATCATCATCATATTATTACAGCCCCTCACAACTCAAATGTCTAGGGCTCCCCCCTGGAAATGCTACAAATCACGTTCATGAGCCAACTACATCCATCGACTTCCTGCATCTTATATGAGTTTGTCCACACAGTTAGTGGAGGGGGAGGTCAAACTACACTTCGCTTACAGATACAAGATTGCCACTCGAGAAACTATTCTCCCCAACAGTTGTCGGTCCTTCAGGCTGGCTCATTCTCACTTCAGAGTACAACCGTTTGTCTAATGCGGTTGTTCTGGAACCCTACCCGTGCCTCGAAAAGCACTTGAAGTCATCGTTTCTGTGCCTGATCTCACCGCTCGTGTCGGTTTATTTTGTCCCATCGGATTATGCAAGTAAGGGAGTAGAGAGTGCCCTTGTTCGTGCACCTACAATCTTGCTCTGTAATTCTGTCCTGTGCAGATGCCTACAGTCTAGTCTTGCATATTCCGTAATCGCGTTTTACGCCAACTATGTCAAGAAATGGAGCAATGGATTCTCTAACGTCACTATTACACAGCTGAATTTACTATTTAACGTGTATTAATCTAGAAAGTTCTCGGTTACAATGAACGCTCGAAGGTACGATTTATATCCTCAAAGCGAAGGGTTAAAATACATGACCCCATTTACTTAATTGGCGCCCGGGTGATTTCCAATACTTTTAACTACGATTGGTTAGCAAACAAAAATATAGTTCGCTTTATTTTTTTGAACTACTTTAATTCTGTGATTGGTAAAGTGCTTGCTTACTGACCTCCCTTTCATCTATCTCGAGCACTTTTATTTATAACTCTCTGAAACAAAAGCGGAAGAGTAGAACTTGGATACAGAATAGCGAAATATTTTGCTTAATTTATTTTACTGTTAATGGTTATGGTTTTTATTATCAACCATGGAAAACAAATGCGATGTTCGTACAAATCCATAAATACGGTATTTCTTAGGATACTTCTTCATTTCGAGAACGTTTTGTCACTTTACTTTTTAAGAAACTTACTCTTAACTCTTGTTGAGGTTATGTCAATTTTGTTTTACAAGAAACAACAGCAATTTACAGTATTCTTAAAAGTTTGAGTGACAAAGCCATAATTCAGCTACAGAGTGGCTCCACCACGCATAAATGAATCCACATTCTTAAAAAAACACGCACACCACGAATTTATACATCTTTTATCATATTGTCACTCCATTTAGTAAAGACCGCTTTACTAATCAAATATCCTCCTACCAGGCAGTCTTTAGGGAGGTCTATGTTTAGCAGTGGACATTGATGGGCTGTAATTGTAATAAAAATAATCTCTATTAGACTTTAACAACCATATCCTCGTACTGTTTAAGACAAAATACAACACTGGGTGCTTCAATAGAAATAGGTAAAAAGGTGGTCCCAAAGTAGACAAAATCAAATGAAGTATTTGAGCAATACTTTACTTTGTTAGTGGTGAAGCCCCACTGCAGCTTTATTATGACCATCTATTAAGGCATTAAGATTGGGATCACGTTCAGATAGTACCCAATTCCAATACCCAAGTGCTGGGATGGAATTCCTTAATATTAATTAAATATCTAAAATATAAATTTTGTGCGAGTTAGAGACAAATACTAATGGGTCGGCTTGACTTTTTTTTATAGAATAAAGGTGACAAACGGGTACACAGTCCACATGATGGTAAGTGGATGCTGCGGCCCATAGACATTTACAGTTATCCTCGATTATGTATTAAAACGCAGATGCGTTGTCACCCCTGAGTACTAAGATCAATCACCATTGAGGAATGACTTGTTTCCAGTAAAAAAGGTACTCCGGATCTCTACACTCAGCATACGAAACATAGCAGTATTAACCTGATATTTTATGCTAGTATTCTATGAGAGCGTGGTCCTTCCCCGGTCGAACCGACCCATTAGTGCTACAACCATAATATAACTACAGTGTGGCTCTACCTAGTTATATGACGCAGTAGCTTAGCAATGAGTTCCAGCGCTGAGGACAGCGTTTTGAATCCCGCACGGAATAGGTGTAGGTTTAAACTAATTACTTTACTTAAATTTAGTTCTGGGATACAAATAAAGTTCCGTCTCCTTAAAGTCCACATTCACACACATCGAAGCAAAGTACTTTTTGTCTGCCAACAGTTCTAACCCAATAATTTAAAATAAGGACCAAATAAAAAATTATTTTTATAATAATTATTATTATCATACTGTACTATTTCAGTTTCAAGAGCAATCGACGTTGGTTGTGATCGAGACTTTACTTTTACTCTTTTAAAATGCTCTATTGTATCAAAGGAATTTTTTTTTCTTTTTGCCTTTAATGAGTAAAAGCGAGAGCGGTGACGTTTTTTTTTTTGTAAGTAAAACTATTAAAATATTTTTTCTTTGAGTAAATAGTATTTGTTCGGTATCTAATCTTTTTGATTTGAGGATTACAAAGTCTTAGCTGGTATCGTATTTCTTCTTATCTTTTAAACTGTTATAAATAGAATATTTATCTTTTTTTGTGATACGGTCGCATATCGTAGACTGAAATTCTAAATGGCATCAAGATTTGTCCAAAAACACAAAATATGGCATTCTAATTGTTATAATTTTTTAATGTGTAAAATAAATTATATATATTAATTAATAATTATATATTATTAATTAATATATATAAATATTAATAAAAAAAATTGAAAAAGTTAAAAACCGCCACCAGTTCACCGTTGTGGGCACTTATCACATCTGGTTAAACGAGATGGTATACCGCCTGTGGAATATAAAAGATTTTTCTAGCAATTGCCATGATCGCCGCTTACGATGCCCACTATTTTATAGAATAAGAGTGACAATCGAGCACACAGTCCACCTGATGGTAAGTGAATGCTGTGGCCCATAGATATCTACATTTATCCTCGATTAAGAATCAAAACGCAGACGCAGAGAACGTTGTCACCCCTGAGGACTAAGACGGAATGCCTCGTTTCCAGTAAAAAGGGTTTCCGTATATCTACACTCATAATACGAAACGCAGCAGTATTACGCTATTATTTTACGCTTCTTTGAGAGCGTGATCCTTGCTTTAACGAAATGAAGTGATGGATTTTCTTTCTCTGCCACCAAAATGTAGGTAAATTGCTTAAATCTAGTTGATATAAGCCAAGAGAATCTCAGATTAAATTCTACCCAGTTCACCGCATTTGATGTTTAATATAGTAACACAAAAACTATTATGTATGGTACTTACGTCCTATCGTGGACCTCAGACCTATTTTTATTTTGTCAAGGTTTTTGTGTAGAAACAAGACACTAAACTATATGTCGTTGGACTTCATACGTATTCGAAATAATTATTATTGCCTTTATTGCCAAGCATGCGGTAAGTCATCACTGAAATTGCAATTAGTAATTTGACTGATGAGGGTAGAATCGAAGTCGATTGGCTTATAGATAATTTCGTTTTTTTTTCTATAGTAGAGGAGGCAAACGAGCATACGGCTCACCTGATGGTAAGTGATTACCGCCGCCCATGAACATTGCAACACCAGGAAAATTGCAGATGTGTTGCCAGCCTTTTAAAAAGGATTAGGCTCTTTTCTTAAATGTCCCTAAGTCGTATCGGTACGGAAAAATCTCTAGTGGTAGTCGATTCCACAAGGAAGTTGTGCGAGGAAGAAAACTTCTTTAAAATCGCACAGTGATTGACGATTGACGGACGGTATCGCGAGTTTTGTCGCAATGTGTGATGGTGAAATTGTGCGGCTGGAATTACTCCGAACAAATCCTCAGAGCACTCCTCGTGATAGATGCAATAAAATACGCAAAGAGATGCAACATCTCTTCGCAGTGCCAGTGAGGTCGCATACGATTTATCGCTGGATGCGATCAAATGGAAGAAGCTAGCACTGGGGAGCCCCGACCCAGAGATGGGAACAGTATTCCATGTGCGGTTGAAACTGGGCTTTGTAAAGTTGCAGCTGGTCAGCCGGCCAAAATACTATCCCGCTCTGCTGAGCACGCCAAGCTTTTTAGAGGCCAATTTGGCGTTCTCTTTCAAGTGACCACGTAACTGCACGTCACTCGATATGTCGACGCTGAGGATTCCGATAATGGCTGAGACAACAAAGGGAGTGCCTTGAAATTGAGGAGATACAACGAAGGGATTTTTTTAGCAGTAAACGCGCAAACTTGTGTCTTCTGGGGATTAAACTGGACTAAATTTAGTCGCCTCCAGTCCGAGACTTTGTTCAACAAAGTTTCGACTTTAGACACAAGTTTGTCCCGGTACTCTGCGACGTTTTCCCGAGAAATATTGGCACGGCCGGTGTATAAAGCATCACCAGTGCTGTCGTCTGCATAGCAATGAATGTTACCGGTTTGCAACATGTTATTGATATGAAAAAAAAATAAAAAATGTTTTATTAACATAAAAATATGTACAAAAGGTAATATCTGTTGGTTTCCTCACTAGGCAAGCCTTTATCGAGGAAACCTGAGACCAAAGTTCACAAGGCATCATTTTATACATCTTATCAGACAAAAATATACCTACTTAATATACCTACACAAAATAGCAATAAAATAACTGCATAATGCTCAAAATCTAAAAATATAAAAAAAGAAAGAAACCTTTAACAACCAGGCCAAGTTTTATATAACTGCAAAGTATTAACTATGTATGTATTCACATTTAAAAAGAAAAAGAAAATAAAATTAAACCAACAACAATATTTACCTAAAAATTTCACAAATACCATCTATTAGCAAAAGTCAGTTTTTATCAATTGTTCTGTTTCCTCATATGATAGGATGGCCAACCATTTCTTTACGATTAATTTTGCTGATGCATATTTTTTATTTGTAATATTACAGTGTTTGACGACTTTATTATAAATTTGTCTTTTGATAAAGTCGCCAAAACGTTGGGCAAATTTTGTATTGAAAGAAGGTATGGATAGTTTATATACCCTGCGATTTGTCAGTAGTTTGTGGTCATTTGAAGATAATATGTATTTATGTACTGCTAAAGACGTATTCAGCACAAAGAGTTGACGTACAGTAAGTACTCCGGCATCTTCGTATACAATTGCAGTGGGGTATCTGTATGGTTTTCCTAGCATTGCCTTTAAAACTGCCCGCTGTGCTCTCTCAGTCTGTACTAAATATGTTTTGGATGCACATCCCCAACATGTGATGCAGTAAGCTATGAGCGATTGACAAAGGGCGTAATACACCGACTTTAATATTATAATTATAATATATAACTTATTTGTTATATAATATAGCTTTCTCATTATATGGATAATCCTTCTGATTCGGTTTGAAAGAACTTCTATGTGCGATTTAAATCCCAAATTTTCGTCAACAAGTACACCGAGATATTTTATAACTTTAACCTGCATAAGAGGCTCACATGAACAGCGCGGATTTATGTCGCATGACTCTTTATGAATTTTTATATTCAAATCGAACTTCGGACAGGATGCATTTGTTTTATGAAAACATACGTACATCGTCTTTTTTCAGTTTAATGTTAGTAAATTATTCCGTAGCCACGAGAAATTTGCAACATACCTCGCTCGATAGGACAAACAGATTTCCATGAGGGTCTGTGAAAAACGACCGCGTTGTCATCGGCATAGCATATAATGTCAGTATTTTCAAGAGTTATATCATGGATGTCATTAATATATAAGATAAATAATGTAGGTCCCAAAATGCTACCATGTGGAACTCCAAAATTGACATTTTGTAAGCTACTGATAGACTTACCAATTTTTACGCACTGTTTGCGATTTGTTATGTAGCTTTTAAACCACTCCAAGGCTACCCCTCAAATACCTGTGCTTTCTAGTTTTTTCAAGAGAATAGAAATAGATATGGTATTGAAAGCCTTGGATAGGTCCAGAAATATCCCAATACAGGATTTTTTTCTATCAAGATGCGCAGACAGAGTGGTCGTTAGTAGGTTTACCGCGTCTTCGGTGTTTCTACCCTTATGAAAATCAAATTGTTTTGGAAAGATACAGTTGCATTTAATTCACAAGGCGTTTATTTACTAGTTTTTCAAGTAATTTTGAAAATACAACTAAAAGTGAGATGGGTCTATAGTTGTTAACAGAATTTTTAGGTCTCTTTTTATAAATTAGGCAAATCGATGCGGTTTTCCAACTATCTGGAAAGATACCGCTTGAAAGACTGAGGTTAAAAATGTACGCAAGCGGAGTCATAATTTCATGTTTGATAAATTTTACAAGCGCGTTGCTAACTCCGTCTATACCCGGTGCCTTATTATCTTGCAACTGACATATAAGTTTTCCAATTTCTTCATGATCGGTGGGATACATGAAAAACGAATTCATTTGTGGATTTGGAGTTCGAACGGACCTTGTCAGATCAGCCTCATTTAGCTTCATATGAGAGAGAATATTTTCTGCGAGCTTTTTACCAGCAGAAGAAAAATGATTATTTGTGAATTTGATTGATTCTTGCACATTTAGACCATCTAGTCTTAACAATTCTTTGGTTTCATTTTTATTATGTTGAAGGTGACAGATATTTTTGATTGACTGCCACATCTTTTTCGGGTTATTTTTATTTTCAATAAGAAATTTATTTTCATGTTCAGTTTTAACCTTGCGTAATAAATCTATAAAGAAATTTTGATAACGGGTATATATTTTTTTTAAAGGTTTTATTTTCCGGATCACTCCGAGATTGTAGATGCAGACGATCACGGACGCGCATACAACGAATTAAACCTAGAGTTATCCAAGGTTTTATGTTATACTTGGCTCTACTAATTTTAATTTCTTTGGTATGTTTGTTTAGGACACTGTAATGTGTTTTGTGAAAATTTCATTAGCTATATTTACATCAGATATATTGCTTAGAATAGACCAGTCGATGTTTTTAAGGTTATCTTTCATGGCATTAAAATCCCTTTTAGGTGTGAAACGAGTAGGTCTAGGAGGCTTAAATTTTTTGGAGTTCAAACCAAGCGTAACTGGAAAGTGGTCTGTAACGTCACATTGGCATACAATGCCATGTAGTGCTTGGCAACTATCCAAGTTTCTGACGTATATGTGATCAAGGCAAGCAGACTTCCTAGTTGGATGTACTATGGCTGGAGTGAATCCGTGTTCGGCCATAAAGCACTGATACTCTAAGCTTTGTGGGGTACATATATTTTTCATTATATTTATATTTATGTCGCCAGCAACGATGTAGGGAAGACTATTTATTTTATTAATGTGCATTTCAAGGGATGCTAGGATTTTTTCCAGATTCTTAAAAGATAGTGAACGATATATTCCAAGAATATTAACTTTTCGGGTATTTGAACAAATAGGCAATCGGCTTCATTAAGGCATAGTTCTTGAACTGTGGCGTGCCATATATCACTCAGGTATACGACAACCCCGCTATTTTGATTTAAGTGCCTATGCGTTTTAAAAGCGTTATATCCAGGTATTTGCGGAATTATTATACCATCGTAGAGCCAACATTCGGTCAGAATTATAATATCCATAGAAATTTCTAAACGTTGTAAGGCTACCATTAAAGTATCAAAGTTCTTTCCTAGGCTTCTGATATTGAGACAAAATAGCTTAAAGGTAAATTCCGGAGTGATGACATGTTTACAATCACATATATCTTTTATAATTTCACACTTAACCTGCATTGAGTCTAATTCAAGGTCCAGTTTTTCAGTCACAATCATTTTCGTAGTTGAATTTTATCCGAAAACCGGTATAAGTTGGCTAATATGAGCCAAAACATTTTTACACTTAAAAAACTTGGTTTCTTTACTTTAAAAAACAAAAATAAGGACTTGTAAAAAGTGAAATTTAAAATAATATCAAAATAACAAAAGGGTTTACAGTTATACATACATACATTTTTAGCAATAACAAAGTCATGTAAGGTAGCTTGCATTAAGTAGACTTCATCAATCCTTGGTCTTTCATAATTATGTAGATCATTACGTTTATCATTATGTACCCTAGACTGTGGAAGTGGGTGGAAGCAGACGGTCAAGATCCTTGAGCGATTGAATAAGCTGAGCAGATTTACCTTCACGTTGCCTGACGTAAATAAAGCCTTGATTACACCAACAGAATGTGTATCCGTGTTGTTTGGACCTTTGTCTAGTGTCTCGAAATAACACTCTGTTTTCTTTGGTAAGCCTTTCATTAAAATAAACTTTCCGGGTTAGACCAGCTACCTCCAGGTCAGAACTGTTTATGTTTCTTCTTAACTTTGCAGCTTTGAGGATTTGATCACGTTTAGATCGACGCAGAAATTTAACGACCACTGGCCGCGGCATATTGCCGCTATCTTCTGGTAGAGCAACGGTTTTCGGTGGTCGGCGTGGGCCCACACGAGTTACCCAATTTAAGTCTTTATCTTCTAGGTCGACTCCCAGTTTCGTTGCTGCTACGAGTATGGTATGATTCAGATTTTCACCCAAGTTTTCAGGAATTCCTACAATTTCTATTTCATTTCTCATATTCTGTTGAGCTTGTATTTTTAGTTCATTTTGCAGTTGTGACACTGTAACCTGCAAATTTTGGACGTCTTCATCACGTTTTTCTAAGTATTTTATTTTCTCATTAGTGGTTGCGAGAATACCCATAATATCGTCCATTCGCTCGTTTGTATAAGAAATTGATTGGGTCAGGTCATTTAATTTCGTTTTAACGGAGCACAATTCACTGGTAAGGAGGCGCAGCTGTTCAGTGAGTTGGGTCATTTCAGACCCCACAGAGTCCTGCTTTTTACGTGTGGTAACATTTTCAGAACCACCTCGAACTGGAGTAAGACTGTTATCCCCACATTTTTTTTTTGCGCGGCACTGCATTCGGGACATTTTCAAATCTTCCGCTTAGCAGTGAGTATTGGAGCATTTATACACACTGAGCAAAAAATTTTTCACATGCAGTAGAGGTACATTTACTAATACCGGCACTGTCTCTAATAGGCTTCAAGCAACCAGCGCACTTCATTATGCTGCTTTAATTTACAGACCACGAAAGAAAAACAATTTTGTGGTGTTAGTAGCGCGTTTATCAGCGATAATACTATGAAAATGGTGCACACGACTTTTACGGTTAAGTATAGCGCGTAACCGTGAAGATGCCACGTACCGGGTTGATGACTTTTTACCCTCGCTCTTTTCCTAATATTGTTGATATATGTTGTAATATTGTGCTAATATTGCTTTAACTTGCCTTGAATAAGTCACAGCAAAACTTAAGGAAACACCTTGTATGTCTATATTGTATGAAAAATGCAAAATACTTCCACAAAGAAACACTTAAATTATGAACTCGTAAATTAAGATCACAGAGCACAAACACACAGTTAACTGACTGACAGACGCGACGATAATGATTGGTGGCGTTGGTTATAGCACGCAGCCTTATAGAACGTCAGCGTTAATGGGCCAAGTACGATGGTATCAGTACCGGCTTTAATAAAGAAACATGAAGCATCCGTCAGTATTTTTTCTCCACTTTGATTTTGGTGATGTGTAGCAAGTACAGTAAGGCTGGGTTCGCACGGCATTGTCCTGCACGTTTTCTTTGTATTCGTTTTTTTAACGTACAATCACTCGGGTGTTCATACGGTAGATTTTGATTCGTGTGAAAAACGAATGGTAGCAGTCTTCACACAATTGTCACAGTGAACAGATGGATCCACGCTTGGTTGTACTTTTATATTGGTATAATCGAAGGCGCCAGCGGTTTCGTCGCCGAGAGAGCAAAATGTTTTGTGTACATCCTATTAATTAAGAATCTATTTAAAAAGTTACATTATAAACTTAGAAACTTTCAGATGTCTATTGAAAGTTTTGAAAACTTAATCAATTGGAAAATTCAAGCCTGCCAAAAACAAATACGAATATGCGGAATTGCATCAGTACTAAAATGAAATTAGCCATCTGTATAACCCAGATAAGCCTACTGTCCTATATTTAGGACAGTAGAAATAAAAAAAATATCAGAATACCCTCTTTATCTAAGATTATTTAGTCTTATGATTTGCAGTAAGAAACGTGTCAGCTTTATTAGAAAAAATAAAAAGACAGTTATTTTAACAGTTTTTACCTTATATTTTACCTTATAAGTGTGTAATAAAAGTGCGTTGCAGACATGGCAAATGACAGCTATGTATAAAAAGTTATATTTTACTCGTGAGTTGTTTTTTTCTGTGTTAATATCTAGTTGATAACCTTAACTTTTGTACTAAATAAATATTCTAGCAAAATAATATAAATAAATTACGTATAACTTGTTACAAATACTAGCGTACTATATATAGGACAGTAGGATAATATACATGATTTTAGTACAATAATACAACTTTTTCTTTACAGACCGTTAGCTGCGCATGAAATTTTAGATGCTTTAGAAAATGTTTCTGATAATGAAGAAGATTATAGAGAACGACTGATATGTATTCTACCTCCTCCTGTTGATCCTGACTGTCTCACTGACGAAGATTCGGGTGAAGAAGATAATGTAACTTTGAATAATTTGCCACGAAACATTCTGCTTCAACCGGCTGAAGTAATGATTCAAGGGCAGATTATGGTGAGTGATACAGAAGAAGAACCTTCTGATTCTACAGGTCGAACTAAACGTAGGCGTACCTACGCATGGAGAAAACGGGACTTGGCAAAAAATCCCGTGAATTGGCCAGATGTTCAAGGCGCTTGCCAAGATAAGCGCCCAATTGAGTGGTTTGAAAACTTCTTAGATGAAGATGTTATTTCGTTGTTGGTGTCAGAGAGCAATAAATATGCTGTCAAAAAGAATTTGCCTGGAGACATAACCACCGAAGATATGAAATGTTTCATCGGCATATTGTTGGTTAGTGGTTATTCATGTCTCCCCCCGTAGAAGAATGTATTGGGAAAACTCCCCTGATACAAAGAATGAATTGATCAGCTCGGCTATGACTAGGGATAGATTCGACTTTATTTTTCGCCACCTTCATGTCAATGATAATCTGGATTTGCAAGACAAATACACAAAAGTACGCCCCCTAGTTACACTTCTATTTGCAGTGTAGATGAGGCCATGATCCCCTACTATGGTAGACATGGCTGCAAACAGCACATAAAAGGTAAACCTATTAGGTACGGGTTCAAAGCTTGGGTTGGTGCTACACGGTTAGGGTATGTTTTATGGATGGAACCATACCAAGGTGCTACAACTATGTGCAATCCAATATATAAAGAATTGGGGCTGGGTGCAAGCGTTGTTCTCACTTTTTGCGATGTGCTGATTTCACGTGGCTTCGACCTTCTTTACCACGTAGTTTTTGATAATTTTTTTACTGGGACGCCCTTGCTGGAAGAGATAACAAAGAAAGGCCTTCGTTGCACTGGGACAATTCGAGAAAACAGGACATCTAGTTGTCCTCTGATTACATCGAAGTTACTGAAAAAAAAGGAACGTGGTGCTGTCGATTACAGAACGACACATGACAACACGTTCATTATTGCTAAATGGCATGACAATAATATATTCACTATTGCTTCTAATGCTGTAGGAATAAATCCTAAACAATCTGCCAAACGCTTCTCACAAAGTGAAAAGAGAAACATTGTCATAGAAGAACCACATATGGTGTCCATCTATAACAAATATATGGGAGGAGTGGATCGGTCTGATGAAAATATTTCACATTACCGAATTGGTATACGAGGTAAGAAATGGTACATGCCGTTGCTCACACACATGATTGATCTTGCCGAACATAATGCATGGCAGTTATATAAAATAAATCATGGAAAACTGGATCATCTTGGCTTTCGCAGAAGGGTAGCAATTGCTTTGATTGAATCAAACAGAAAAAATGCCAAAAGAGGGCCTAGCCGACCCTCCCATCATGAACATGCTGATAGTCGTAAAGACCAAATGAATCATCTGGTTATTCCTCAATCGAAGCAAACACGCTGTCGTCAATGTCACAAAAAATGTTTGACACGTTGCAAGAAATGTGATGTTGGAGTGTGTGTCAAGTGTTTTGAAACATATCATTCATAAATAGTGTTAATCTAGTAAATTACATATAACAATGGGTAATATAATCAATAGTTATCTAATAAACTACACTTTTTAATTACATTCTGTTTTGTCATAAATGGTCTTTTATTTCCTCTTATTATCCTACTGTCCTACATATAGGACGGCTGTTTCCCTGAAAGCCTTACACTTAATTTTTTTTTCATAATTTTTTTTATGTTGCATAAGATCTAATAAACTAAATAATGTAACTTTTTTCAAAATTTTCAGAAAATTTTAGTTTCAGGCTTATCTGGGATAAGGTTAGTACATAAATAAAAATATACAGGGTGAAATTATTAAAGTTTTATTAATGTAATTAATAAAATAAGTTTTATTTTGCCAATATAATGTCTTCGTATTTCGTATTAAAAGTCGTTATAATCAATTTCTGAGTAGTTAGAATAGGAGGAATCGACAGAGGCCGTACTTTGAAGATAATTTATTATAGGGATAGAATTTGTAATTTGTTGAAGAGAATCTATTGTAGGGACAGAATTTGTAGTTTGAGTTTGCGGTATATTATTATTTTGGTATTCCTGGGTAAAATATCCTCTATGAATTGATGGAAGATTGAAAGGCGACGACTCACGACGGAGACAGCTTTTAATATTTTTCAATAATTGTAGCACTCCCATTTGGAATTTAAAGACTTCATCATCGTCAAACTTATCTAATGTGGTATTATCCTATTAAAAATGAAAGATGCCGAGTCATAGTTTTAGGTTCATTATTTGACTAAGAATCCATAAATTTCATCATCTTCGCATCGAGAGTACTAACTGCATTCTTCATAGGTCTTTTAGGTATAATTTTAGGTATTGGGCTCAATGTCGCCATATTATCTTGATGTGTCTGTATAGAGTTTGCTTCCGATGTTTCGTTTTATTCAGAATTATTTTTCTGTTTTTCGGATTCTGCGTTGTTATTTTCGGTAATAACATTGCTTATTGTCTCTTTACGTTGTATTTACTTTTTGCAGAAAGGATAACTGTTTATTATAAACGTAAGGTTTTGCTGTTTTGGCGCCACTTCCTGACCTCTTCTGATCTTGTATCTTTTTATATGATCGATTATAATTATTTCTTATATGAGTTCACCTCTGAATAATCTGTTTCGCTGTAAAAGACAAACATAGTAATTTAAACTGAATACTGCAGGGCAGCACAAAGTGCCAAAACGTTTGTGACTTGAAATTTTGATAATATAAAGTAGGCACCTAGAGGGTGATTTGTGTATTTAATAAGAATAGGTATTTATCAAAATAACTTACCGATGCATACATACGACTCACGACACTAAAAATTTACTTATGCCTATATTCTTTTATCATGTCTTGTCACGATCGCTTTGATTCTCTGTGCTCATCCTGCTGAATACTTTAGATAATATATATTAAGGTTTTTTTTCAGTTATTTAGCATCAGGGTGTTCCATGAAAGATATACACTATGCGTATAAAGTTGGAGTATCGACTATAAGTGGGTTCATCTGGGATATTTGCTGGACGCTGTGGGATGTTCTTCAGGGAGAATATCTTCAAACGCCTTGTTCAGAAAATGAATGGATGAAAATAGTGGAAGGTTTTGAAAGAAAGACTAATTTCCCTCATTGTCTAGGTGCCATTGACGGGAAACATAAAAATCTTAAAGCCTGCTCATAGTGGGTCCATATACTTCAATTATAAAGATTACCTTTCATTATACTACTTGCAGTGGTTGATTCTGAATTCAGATTTATATATGTCAACTTAGGATGATAAGGTAAAGAGATTGATTCAACCATTTTGAAAAACTCCATCAAAATCTTTTATTACCGTCTGAGCAGAGCAAGAAGATACGTGGAATGTGCCTTTGGTATCTTAGCAGGAAAATGAAGAATCCTACATAAGGCTATTGATGTTTATGTAGGATGTAACATGATTTAGGTTTGCAATATTGTGTTTTACAGCGAAGAAGTGGTTACTTTTTAATTTAGAAAATAAAAAATATTGTTGTGAAAATAATTTGTAGAAGACAAAATTAAAAGTTTATATGAATAAGACCAACATTTACCTGGTCATTTCTGACTTTTTTCCAATTGCCGAGCCTTGTCGAGTACCTACAATACTCATCGCCTCGTCTGCTACGAGAACCAAAAATCTCGTCAACATTTTTGGAGACGATGGGCCAACGAATAATTAACCGAACTGCAACAACGCACGAAGTTGTGCGTCAAGTCCAAGGACTTGCAGCTTGGTTGACTTGGTGCTACTAAAGGACGAGAGTACGCCTCTGTTACCCCGGTGTTTGGGAAGCGTCAGCAAACTATTCCCCGGAATAAAAGGTGTGCCTCATGTTTCCGACGCCTCTGCCCGTTATCATGTGAATAGCTCTAAATCCAATGTGCCTACTTCCTACACCCAGCGATTATGAAACTTAAAAGCTGTCTTGCAGCGTTCAAGGGAGGGTGCCTGTACCACTGAAAATTATAAACTTTTATTATATATTATATAATCTGTGTTACAAATAATATATACAATCTGTAATTATATAATCCATAGATACCCAATTGTTATAATAATTTTATAATTTTATTAGTTTATTACGTGGTAGAGCCATGCTGCAGTTATATTAGTAGTATAGTTGTAGCACGAATGGGTCGGCTCGACCGGGGAAGGACCACGCTCTCACAGAATACCAGCGTGAAATAGTAGCTTAATGCTGCTGTATTTCGTATGGTGAGTGTAGAGAACCGGAGACCCTTGTTACTGGAAATGAGGCATTCCATCTCAGTCCTCGCGGGTGACAACGCATCTGCATTTTGATTTGTAATGGAAGATAGATGTAGATGTCTATGGGCCGCAGCAACCACTTACCATCAGGTGGACTGTGTGCTCGTTTGTCACCCTATTCTATAAAAAAAAATAGTTTGTACTTCTGGTGCAATTGAAATTTAAGTACTGTACGTTTATTATAAAAGTTTGGCATTACGGGTACCATGATTATTGTCACAATGAATATTCTTCTTTATTATTCTAAGCAGTTTTCTTTTATTTGCCTTGTTCTATTTTGAACAATATTCTTATAACTTTCTATCACCCCATTGTTGTCTCATCTCACTTAGTCCTTAAAAATAGCTTTCTCTATATATAGATAGAATCCTTCTTCCTTCTAGTTAAAATAGGCACTTCATCTTAGTTATCAACTGTGGCAACGCATCTGCATTTTGATTCTTAAGCAAGGTTAAATGTAGATTTCTATGGGACACAGCCTCCACATACCATTAGGTGGACTGTGTGCTTGTTTGTCACCATAATCCTATAAAAAAATCACAACGTAACAAGAAATTGATAAAACTCTTGTTTTTATTACAGAGTGTAATTGGGACAGAGAACGAAAAACTCTTTATTTCCCCACTATTCAGATTATAATACATTCCAGCTGGTATACCCATCCATTGATTAAAAGCTATAAAAGTCTGTGATGAATGAATGGATTAATAGGACTTCACATGTCTTTTTAAAAAATTAAAAAGACATGTGAAGTCCGCCAACACGCAGTGCGGTGGACACTTTCTGGCCCTAAAACCCTCTCACAAATGAGAGGAGGCTTGTGCGAGTGAGACACCTGTAGGCTTTTTTTATAAAAATCGTTTGAAGGCCTTGCTTGTGGGGCAGCTTGTCCAAGATCTGCACTAAACAAATTTATGTATGGTATTAATATTTGTACTGAGCTAAAATTTTGGTTTACGTGTTATTAATATAATTTAGGGCTGATTTTCAATCGTCAGATTAAATTAACCGTCGAAATTATAAGGTAACTGATTGAACAGTAAAACTGTTGAAATGTT